GTTTTTTTTTTTTTTTTTTTTTTTTTTAGTTTAATAATTTGTATGGTGTCCTGTGGAATAAAATTTATATGGAAAATACAGCTCCTTTTTCTAGTTTGATGTTATTTTGTATTGTATATACAATGCAAATACAATACAAATGTAATAATACAAATACAATGTATATACATAGTTATTTGTATAACTATGTAGAAAAGAAAATGCTATGTATAGGTCAAGGTCTTTTTTGCACTGCATGTGTGTACAGGTAAATGCTTTACCACTACCGTTTCTAAGGAGATTCTGAAAGTCTTTAACGATGAAAAAAACTCACCACACTTATTTTACGTTTGTGTTTTTTATGTTTGTTTGTTGTTTTTTTTTTGGCAGCTCTTAAGTTTTTTCAGGGTTTTGAATTTAATGTTTAGAAATTGTAAACTCTGCCCACTGTGAGGTTACTTAGTGTACAGCCTTTACTGGGATCTGGTCTATCAAATATTTTTGGCTTGCTTCTACAGTTTAAGCAGTCTTTTTGGTTTTATTGGACTCTGGCAATACACAAACATTCTCATTCTGTATCTCTGCTCTCCCTCACTAACTCCTCCTCTCTTAGTAAGATGGTAGACTTGATCTTAATGAAATATTCACTTTATAAATGCCCTTTATAAACACCAAAGTGTGGTTTGTTTTGTTTGTTTTTGATTTTTTTTTTGTTTGTTTTAGTACAGAATCATGTCTGGATTTTAAGATGCTTTGCAAACCCAAGATGGATTTTTATAATATTTTTATAATGTGCCCTTTGCAAAATTTTCTTTAAATAAGATAAGCCAGACAGGGCTATTCATGTTTAAACTTTAAAAAAAATTACATTTTGAGTGAGCCGGATGTGAGGTATGAAACTACATGTATATGTATGTCTTTCTCATGAGACTTTGCATCTGAGAACTTTGCAGCAAAAAGAAAAATAAGTGTCACCTAAGGAATTAATATACACCACACTTCAAATTATAGAGCAATATTTGAAATTGCTTCTTCATATCTATTCTAAAATAGATAAAAATATGTTTTTCCTGCCACATGATAACTTCTCTATGTCTCTCTTGCAGCCTATGCCACACCAACTCGGTGGTTCTTTTAATACACTGCAAGATCTGTGATTATACTGGCCTGTGCATTTAAAAACAATCTTATTACAATTTTGTTCTTAAGTTCTTGTACTTTTGGTAAGCTCTATTTATAATCAGAAACATGAAGACCAGATGGTAATTTTTCCCAAGCATAGGGAGATGGACACGTTCATCGCATCCTCTAGCAACAGAAAACTCACTGCTAATTTAATGTGTGCTAGCTGAGCTGCAGGAACTATCCACTGAAAAATGCAAGGTGTGTGTGTCTTGGCCTGGCCCAGTGGCCACAGAGTACTGCCATAGTTTTGTGCAAAATAAGCACTCTGTAGCTATTGGCAAGTGGTTCATCTGGCAAAAGCACAGGGTGGCAGTAGTCACATATGTTAAAGAACAGTTTGAGTGACTGAGAAAGTAAATTTTATGAAATTGTAGTATTCGTCCCTCAAGCCAAAACAAAATCAGCAGCACTTTGTGTGGAAGTGACAGACCAACAGCCAGTGAGCGTAATGAGAGTTGTTGCATAGTGGGCTGTAACTTTTGACAGAAAATATCAGATAGAATGTCACAACATAAATTGTTTTGGGATGGGGTGGAGGTTCTACATAGGCTGAAGGTTTTGGGAGAAGATTTAATGACCTGGATTTTTATCTACTCAGGGCAAGTATCGAGTGAGGAAATCCACTACTAGCTATCATAAATCTTGGTGTTAACACAAAGTTTTCCCTTTTTCCTCCACTTCAAAATAAAAACCTTTGTGTGCTCCTTATAGGGACTAAGGAATAGTCTTATGGGAGACCTGTAAAAAGTCCCCCCCCCCCCCCGACTGACCACAGTCTTGGTGTTTGTGCAAGATGACAGCATCTCTGAGGCTTCATGTATTTTGAACTAACTTGTGAAAGAAACATAGCATCAAATAATGTATACATATTGTAGTCAGTGTATTTTAAGGTGTTTTAATATTTTAAGAGGTTGTTTTTAAGGAATCCATTATGAAGAATTCAATGCATAATGGTTTTGAGAATCAAACTGAGGAGTGGCAGAGTGATAGGGGAGAAACAGGATGAAATGTTTATCTATCCGTTATAGTAAACGGATGAAAGAGGAAGGGTAGTCAACTTGAAGTAGCCTTTGTGTAGAGCATCTTGAATGCCTATTTAGAAGCTATGCTTTACTTGAACTTAGGTTTCTGGACTCGGTTCTTGGTTTACTTAATGTTAAATGTAAGTCTATTGGAGAACATTGCTCTTGATCCAATGGGTTCTTCTTGCTTTGGGGATCTTGTATATGTTTTGTAGAGTTCTTGTTTTTGTTAGGAATCCTGTTGACCTGTTAATCCCTGTAGGTACTGATATGCATCTTTCGCTCTTACATTTATTATATAAAGAGTATGGTGCTTGTGAAAAGAACATGCAAGAGCACATTATCTTGGTCTAATTACAGGTCAAATTAAATTGCGAGAGCTACACTAGCTCTGAAAATAACTTGAATGGGTCCTGGTAAAAGTTTCGTCACCATTCTTTGGTTGTGTTGAAGATGAAAACAAACTTGTACATATTTTTCCTCTATAAGCATTTCTGCAGGACCACAATACTGTGCCTTCTATAGGTAAGGAATACCTTAAAAGAAAATTCTCCACTGTGCTGTGTTTCCTTCCGCTGTGCTCGTGGGAAAATCTGGAGTGTAACTTTAGTGTCTCTTTCTAGGATAGTTGTTTAACAAGTGGTGTTCGGGTATAGAGTATGCCTTGTAAACTGTGCACCATAGGCCTCAGTGGGTGAATTGGGGAATTTTTTTTTGTATGTGCCATTTCGGAAATATTTTGCAATGTGTAAATTTATCAGGAGGATTTTAATTTTGCACTGT